TGATCAGTTCTCTCAGGTGATTGATCTGTTCTCTCTCCTCAGGTGATTGATCAGGTCACTCTCCTCAGGTGATTGATCAGTTCTCTCTCCTCAGGTGATTGATCAGTTCTCTCAGGTGATTGATCAGTTCTCTCAGGTGATTGATCAGTTATCTCTCCTCAGGTGATTGATCAGTTCTCTCAGGTGATTGATCAGTTCTCTCTCCTCAGGTGATTGATCACAGTGTGAAAGTGGCTCGTCACTACAACAGCCTGCAGGAAGTCGGTCTCGCGGCTCGGAGTCGAAGCAGGATTTTCTTCATGAGGAATTTTAACAACTGGCTGAAGAGCATCCTGATTGGTAACTCAATTAAATAACTAATCAAACCATCAATTAACACACCTGTCATCTATTTCATTAATTGATTAATAATATATAACCTCAATTAAATGATCAGTTAATCAGTAGACACTACTAGAGAGTTCTAGCAGCTCACGCACCACAGTGAGTCGGCTGATTGGCTGTGTGTTTGATTGACAGGTGAGGTTCTGGAAAAGGTGCGGGGGGCGGGCTCTCAGCAGGTGAGTGTGTTGGATCTTGGCTGTGGGAAAGGTGGTGATCTGCTGAAGTGGAGGAGAGGAGGAATCAATCACCTGGTCTGTGCAGGTAACTGTCCCGCTGCATTGTGATTGGCTTCTCTTCCCCTTCTGACCATCTTCATCAATTATCTAATAATGTTGATCCTCAGATATCGCAGCCGTCTCTGTGGATCAGTGCGAGAGTCGCTATGACGACATGAAGAAGAAGAGCTACGCTAACGAGAAGATCTACAGCGCGCAGTTCATCAGTGCAGACTGCACCAAGGTAGAACCGCAGCACCTAGATCAGCTCACCGAGGTAGAACCGTAGTACCTAGATCAGCTCACCGAGGTAGAACCGCAGCACCTAGATCAGCTCACCGAGGTAGAACCGCAGCACCTAGATCAGCTCACCGAGGTAGAACCACAGCACCTAGATCACAGGGTTCCCGCGGGGTCTTAAAAAGTCTTAAATTTGATAATCTGAATTTAAGGCCTTAGAAGGTCTTAAAAATGATCGGATTTGAAAGGTACTTCTGTGTAGCGATCGCGTCTAAATGTGTTTTTGGGGAAATGTCCGGGCTGCAAAGTAACCAGTACGGTAATAGCCGTTCCCCCCAACAATTTGTATTGAAATAAATCAACATGGAACCAGTAATCACTAACTTTGTTTCCCCCGGCCCCTTATCGGAGAACACCCAGCTAGTAACCTAGCAACCAAGCTTCAGTTAGCGGCAGTCAGAAATGTCTCTTCGAATCTACATACAAATAAATATGGTCTATGGGGAAGTGTAAGTTCAACCGTATTTGGTTGGAAAACATCTAATTTAGTGCTTGGTTGAAACCAGTGGAGGGGAACGTGTTCGAAGCCCGCTGCACCTTTTGCAAAATAAATCGGCGTCTGTTTTGCTAGTGCAGCATTAGGTAGTGCAGCAGCTCCCGCAACAACACCCGGGGACCTCCGGGCGACGTTTGGGTCTACTCAACCCTAAAAGCGGAGGTGCTGTAGACGCTAAATACCGTAGTTAAACACCCATCATACAACGGCAACGATGAAAGATTGTAGCCGCTCTTGACACACACACACCCACACTCACACACACACACACACACACACACACACACACACACACACACACACACACACTTGGGCTGCTCGATTGTGGCAAAAATCATAATCACGATTATTTTGGTCAATAATTGATATCACGATTATTAAATAGGATTATTCATTAACTTTGAAAACATCCATTTATTAAACTTTAAAACAAATAATAATTTGAACATTATCTTTTTAACTGTTGATTACCCTGAACGTATAATTCAACTGAAAAAGCAATACAAAAATAAATTAAATAAATGATACATTTAAATAAATAATATCAAAATAATAAATACCAATAAACAAGATCAACAAATATTTTGGAGCACACTTCCACAAGCTACTAAACATATATAAATATATAATATATAAATTAGACTAAAATCAATTAGATCAAATATGTTGTCACTGTCACAAAAGCAAAGCTAAATAATAGTTTTTTTCGATTATGTTGTTTTCGTAATTGTGGCAGGCCAAAATCGTAATTGCGATTAAAATACGATTAATTGCACAGCCCGAACACACACACAAGCACACAGAGACACACACACATACACACTTTTTGGCTAACACAGTTCTGTACTGTTATGCTGTTATGTTCAGTTATTGTTCTTATGTTGAACATGAATACATTTACTTTGTCAGTAATTATGGGACGTATTTCTTCTTTCATAGCAATTTTCCTTCATACTTTCTTGCAGTGAAATAGGTCTTAAATTCTATTCAAAGTGGTCTTAAAAAGGTCTTAAAAAGTCTTAAATTTGAGTTGGCGAAACCTGCAGGAACCCTGACACACGCTAACATGAATTAAGACTACAAGCTCACTTGGGGTTGAGGCTTTTTTACTAGTTGCTTGACTGCCTGCCCGCATCCAAACATAGTAACGTATATTGGGGAAAATAATTATTTAAAGGTATT